GTATTTGATAGCCATTAATTCTAGCTGAACTCAGGCAATGCTGCCAAATTCTTGCTACGGTATTTGAAAGATTGGACCTGGGAACGAACAATCACGCACATTTTGGTGCTACGTGCGAACGGTACCTTCATTGACAGTTTTTGAGCATACCCAAGCTTATCCCCACTCGAAAAATCACGAGTAGTGCCACGTCCGTTTCTATCATTGACGCTAGATCCCGGGGCTGAGCTGCAATGGTAGACTGTGCCGCACTACATACCTGTAATGCGGCGCAGTGCGCGCACAGGAAAACGGCTGCGGCGCGCGCCGGCATATGTAGGCGAACGTATGTAGCGAAGAGATGCTACAGCTTTGCAGATTGTGTTCGTTTGCACCGTTGAAATTTATCTTTAAAAGGGTACTAATAAGATAGACTGATTAATTGTTTAGTGATACATGCGAAAAAGCGTGTTTAACAATACTATTTCACGTCTTCCACATCGTAAGCCATCAGTGGATTACAGTAATCTCTTCCATTATTTATCTATGTTGAATTTCTGTTCCCATGCCTCATACTAACGGCACGGAAATCCCTGCTTTTCTGACGCTATTAGGCTAGGTGGCTTTAGCTGAATTATTCGTGAGTCAGGCCGTTAGGAAGGTTTCAGTCAACAGCTAGGTATGTTTTCATCTGCTAACACCCGGATGGCACCTCCCCTCCATCTTTCCGTTGAGCTCCCCTCTCAGCCGGTGGACCTGGGTGTTATTTTCTGCTAAACCTTACTGACCATCCTCCTTCTTCGTCCTTTGCCGCCAGGGCTGGGTCAGGCCCGGCTCTTATCCCGGAGCCCGGTCTATTCCTGCCACCGCGCCGTCCCAGGTCCCGGCATATGCAAACGATCTGTTGGAAGGAGGTCCGCCAACCATGTCCACTCCGAAATAGGACGGGAAATGTGTCCTCTCTCTCTCTCTCTCTCTCTCTCTCTCTCTCTCTCTCTCTCTCTCTCTCTCTCTCTCTCTCTCTCTCTCTCTCTCTCTCTCTCTCTCCCTCTCTCTCTCCCCCTCTCTCTCTCTCTCTCTCCCTCTCTCTCTCTCTCTCTCTCTCTCTCTCTCTCTCTCTCTCTCCCTTTTTCTCTCTCTCCCTTTTTCTCTCTCTCCCTTTTTCTCTCTCTCTTTCTCTCTGCTGGTGGGTCATTCAACGGTAATTGAATGCATGTCTAACTTAGTCTAGAGGGCTTTCAGCATTCTTTTGCCATTATACTGTTGAAAATAAACATCGATCCTCCAAAATGAAACAGGTTTTACTAGTTTAATTTCCATGCTGACTAGAGGGCCCTTTCAGTAGGTCGTAGTTCGTCGACGTTGCAATTTAATGAGCTCGTTAGGCTTGTAATTTCCGAATTAGAAACTTGATACCACCAATATATCGGCCAACATTGACATCGAAGTATCAAATTAATTAATGATGCATTTCTTCTCTAATGCTACATCCATACGCGATTGCAATTAGTGCTGGTAAGTGTGTGAGGTGTTTATTGAAGCGGCTGAAATTTTGATGATGTAAGGTGCTAACGCGGACATAAGTTGAAGTCCATGGTTGTTAGCTGTTCAGAAATTGTTGGCTTGCAAAAATGTCATTAATGCGTCAGCTAATGGTTTAACTTGCTCGAAGCACAATACAAGATCAAAACGGCTGAAGGCACAATTACACAATTTCTGAATTAATTAGTAGTTTCGTGGAGGCGTCATCTATATAACACTTTTACATTTAAACACTTTTAACAACAAATACCAGATCATCGCATGCTTTTGATCAATTAGGTATTCAGTTTCTCGACCATATCCTAGGAATCAGCTGATTCCTGGGCTGACCCAGGAATCAGCCCACCATTTAATTTTCGTTGTCCTTAACTTCGAGCCGACTCCAGCGAGCCCGACGGCTGTCCACGCTGTAGTTCGATCGCTGCGGCTGAAACGAGTCGGACTCTATTTGGTGTGCGAGGCTGGGCCGCCGGAACTCGAAGGCAATTTTACCGCAGAGCGGCGTCAGTGCCAGGGTCAGAGGTTGACCTACCAAATCTGCCCGAGGTGGGGGGGGGGGGGGCGCAGTTCTCTGGCTCAGTCTCTCGGTGGTCTGCGCTAATTGGAGTTAGAATGGAGGGCTTTTGTAGAATTTGTTGCCGACCAGTTGCAATATTTGTACGATGCTCACCCACTGTCATTATATTCAAGTTTTTGCAATTGTTGTTGATTGAAATAGTGTCTATCGCTAGGAAATGCATCTTATGGTGATAGTTGCAAGGTTCGAAGCTGAGGGTTCCGATTTCGTTTTATTTTTCTTCTGATTCGGCTAAAGGAAACAATAAACATTTTGCATATGAAAGAAGATTTTCCAGCTCATCGTTGCATTCAAAACTTGAAACCGCGACGCTTGAAGTTGCCGTTCTTGGGAAGTTATGTCCGAATAACTGGCAACAAGTAGCAAGAAATCAAAACAGCTCCGTCACTTTTGCATTTTATTTGTCCGGCTAAGCTAAGGAATGCCGATCCTTTTCATATTGCATGATGCAGTTTGATTTTCGCAACACTAAAGATCAATGATGCCTTCATCGACGATGTGTTTTACCTCGGGACCATCCCATCAAATATATTTATGGATACGATGCATATGTATAAGCATGTTCACTATACATGGCCACAGCAAATGCAGTTGTTTTGTGAGTCGCTAGAACTGCCAGTTGACAAAGGCGTGGCCCAATAGCTCAGGATAGAATGCTTGCGATATTATGAGACTTTCTACGGAAACTACCGAGCGTACTTACATGGTGGAGACAGATGGGGCCTGGGGGAAAAGATACAGATGCATGGGGAATATTAACCCGCGCCCCGTTGGGCTCTGCCGAGCAACGCGCCCGGTTGGGGGGGGGGGGCATTTTGGCCCCCCCCTAAGATCTCGAGAACCACGCAACATAGCGACAAGCGGTAAACGGCGTTGGATAGCCCCAACGGGGAACTACCTTGTGACCCAATTTTATTGACCTAGGTCAAACCGATGACGTCACAGGTCAGGTCAAAGGTCCAATTTTCACCGTTTACAGGTACTTCAAGAAATGCGTTGTAAAATCGAGTAAAATGCATTTCATTGAAAATCATCGATGGGGAAATGTTCTTCAAACACATATTTTGCTATTTGAGGTCACTGATACCAGGTCAGGTCACAGAGGTCAGGTCACGGGGGGTCACAATATGAAAGTGTCGTGTGATACATGTTTTATGGTCCATTTCACATGACAAATGCGATTATATGGGTCAGGCAGCCTTTGAGGCCAGCTTAGATCACGTTTTGGTCAAGGTCAGGTCAAGGTCAGGTCAAGGTCAGGTCAAATTAGGTCAAATTTAAAAGTTAATATTTTTGCATAAAATGGGTATCGAATCGATGCAGCTCGTCACGGGGAGTTCAATGGTGGTCTTTGTTTTGCCGTACGAGGTCTAGAATTGCTAAAAATTGAGTTCAAAAATTTGACGTCATCATTTTTGAACAGTTTTTTCGCTATAACTTGGCCAAAAAACGAGATATCGATCTGAAATTTGGTATGTATATAGAAGAGCGCTGGGACTATCACATATATTCCGGTTTTTTCGAAATTCGGAAAATTTTGGATTTTTTCAAAGTTTTTCTAAAAAAATCAATTTTTTGATTTTTTTGGGTCAAAAACCAAAAATTTTGAAAATCCGAGATAGCAGTTTTGTAGCGCCGCCTTTTGTCTACTAGACCATATAAAGAACTTTGAAATTGCTTAATAACTGTAGATTTGGTGAGCGTTTCAAGATTGCATGTTTTTTGCTCATTTTTGCTCGAACATGACCTCAGTTTGACCTCAATAACTCCTGACCTAAGGTGACCTAAGACTTGAAATTTGGTGTGAAGGTGTCAAATTGATGCCCGGGAAGGTACTGAAAATTTGGCGGCGCTGCGCGCCGCCGTTTTCTTGCTATTCAGGAAAAACCACAGGGGGGGGGCCAAAATGGCCCCCCCCAACGGGGCGAGGGTTAACCCTCGCATGTGTGCGGCGTTTGCCAGCTTCTAATGTGTAGGGGGGGGTCGGTTGGACCCCCCCCCTTGCCGTTTGGCCCCTGATCGAGCTAGAGCTTCGCGGAAAAAACGAGCGTGTTGCCCGTGACGAGAGGAAGCCGATGATACCCAATTTTAAGGTCCTAGGTCATTGGTTGACCTTCCAGGTCAGGTCAATGACCCAAAGTCGGGAAAATCGGGACCTGTTAGAAAGTCGTAAAGTGTGGCTGCTAAGGGGTTTTTCGGGGTGCTGATCACGAATATCGTGTTAGTTTTGATCACAGATGATGTCTTGAAGCATTTAGACCAGGTCGGGTCAGGTCAGGTCAGGTCAACCAGTAGGCGTCGTGACGGGTATTCGTAGTACGTGTCAACCGCCTCTGACAGCTTCGTAACATGTTACGAAGTCACCAAAACTACTTCGTAAATGTTCAAATGATTGCTAAATTCGAATTCAGCTCCAAAAACTAGCCTAGAAACATGTAAAACTCGAAAAAGTGACCCGAGGTCACCCGAGGTCACCAAAGGTCAATGACCTGACCTGACCTTCAGGTGACCTTGACACACACGGGAGTAACATCAAATCACATGTTTGAACGTTTGAAACCACGAAAAGTTTGCAAACACGCGGCTAGTGCGAGCCGACATACGCGAAATCGCGATTCCGGCCAAACATGGTCTCGGAAAAGAGGTCACAGGTCAAAGGTCATTTGGGTCAGGGTCATGAAATTTTCAGGGTAGGTGTATAATTGATCAATGGGAGGGTACTGAAAGTTTCGTTGCGATCGGCCGCTTTTTACGCGAGTTATTCGCGAAAAACCATGGCGGGGTCCATCCGACCCCCCCCCCTACACATGCGAGGGTTAACATGCATCGACTGTTTAGTGTAAACATGCGTTTAGTCGCTAAGCGCATATAATAATGCTGATTGTTTTTTATGTTCCTACAGGCTATGCCAACCCGCTGAGAGACAATCGGACATTGGACAAAGAGGCGCTGAAAAATATCTACGAGCCTTGGAGAAGTGTGCTCAAACTAACTCCAAGCCATCCCACCAGAGCAGACTACAAGTAAGCATTGACTTTCGCATTGCATACAGTGAATCGATGGTAAATATAACCCACTGCAACGCATTGAAACCAGAGCGCAATGCATGCTTAGTAACCAGTTGTATGAAGTTGAAAAAAGTGATGTAACTGTTTTCCGTTTGCTTTATTTTTCTACTAATAAGCTTCAAGCACTTATTCTGTTAAACATTTGTAAAACATTGATTCTTGAGCACACTGGTACGAAATACAGGGGCATTCAAAGTACTGATGAAAAGTATTGTTAAGTGAATAAGCTTCAATTTGTCCTGAGTGTATCAGTCTGTTAGCTTGAGTTCTTTCATGGTTGCAGAGAAATCATGAACAAAATAAAGAATGCGTCACGGGAGGACCCATTCAACGTTCCAATTCACCCGACCATTCTGAAATCAATGAAGGTAAGTTGATGGGATCGTTGTAAAACTTATGTTTCTGCAGCGCGCTTTTAGAGCTTCTGCATGCATTTGATTTCCTTCATGTGCAAATTATCATCAATCCTGAGAGCGATGGAAGTCATTAGTATTTACTTTCACCGCACACACTGAGACGTTACGCTGCTAAATGTCTTCTGAACTTGACCAGATTATTTACCAGGTACCCGTGTCTACTACGCTTGACCTCATCTCTGTGACCTGTGACCTTTGCTGCTCTTCTACGTTGACCTATTATCATTTGCCTAGGACGGCTGTGAATGACATTATACCTCCTGGCTACATGCCTTCTAACGTTGATTTCATTGCAGTATCTTTTTATGTCAGTCGCCCATGACCTCACGAGCTGTGTGTAACCTGTGGCCTGTGACCGTGACCTGTGACGTCCGATCTTGACCTGACATCAGGTACCTGTATCGGCCGCGCATGCCTACGACGCTGTCCTCATGTACGCCCGAGCTGTCACTGAAGTGCTCGCCGCCAAAGACGACCCCACCAACGGCACGGCGGTGCTGCAGAGGATACGCGGCCACAACTTCATGTCGCTACGCGGATACACGGTGAGCGAAACCGACTGCGACCCGGAGTTCTGGAGGAAGGTGGAATGGGCGGCTGCAACTCCATTTAGCGTATGCGCACGGCGAAATTTGTGGTTGCTGCACCGCGATTAAGTTAGCTCTTTCTGTTGCATATGCCATCATACATGCTCACAGACATTCTCGTATTAGTATGCAAAGAATGTGGCATACATTTCTCGGGCAGAATCTGCTCCTATTCCCCATGCTGAGCTGACCCTTCCCCCTCCCACACCACTTAACCACTCGCCACCGCAATACGATACGGTATGTGTGACCATCAATCTTCATGAGCGTGCTCCTTTATATATCTAATAGCTCTTTCCAAGGTGCCGGACGAAAAGATCGTTGGTGGCATGTGCGCAGCGCGCGCTGAGGTATGCTGAGTGCTTATGATGATAAGGATTTTTCCTATATGTGGTTTTTACCTATCCCGTGTCCGTATTGACTGTGTAGTGTGTGCTGCCTCGGGAGAGTTGGTGGAGATGCAGCCAAGGCAAATAAAATCGAAAACGGCGAATGATTTCAGTCAGGAATGGACCATTAGTGGTTTGGAGATGATATGAGCAAAATTACCCTCACAGGTTTACGTATTTATTCCTAAGACCAAAAATAAAGTATATTTCTTTCAGGATCCCCAAACCGTTTCTGAAAATCCACACAGCGGAACAGTATGTCCGTGCGGTGATCTGCAGCCGGTCCCCTCGCCATGTCCGCTCACCCCGTGACGATGGCCACTGGGCAGTGCGTGCGCCGTGTCGTCTGACAGTGACCCGACAAACTGAACTCACACACGAACAACATCATCACGAAAGGGACGCGGCTGTAGAATGACAGCTGTGTCATTTTGTTCTATTCTGGTGGTAGTTGAGTTTGAAGTGGCAGCTCTGCGGTACGGTGTTTTCTTGCGTGGTGCTTATGTCGAACATATGCATCTATTGAAATGTCATTGGTGAATATGAGTGTCGTTTTTCGTTCCTCTGGTAACACCCGTGCACAAACTAATCATTTTGGTATTTTGACGTGAAGCTTGTGGCGTTTGATGATTTAACCCGCGCCCCGCTGGGCTATTCAGCCATACGCGCCCTGCTGGGGGGGGGGGGGCAGATTCTGCCCCCCCTGTCTAACTTCCGAACCGATGGTCGTAGAAAGACGGGGAAAACGGCAATCGAAAGCTCTCAACAAGGCGGATCTTAAGAGCCCAAATTTTTTTGCTTAAGTAGGTCAGAGGTCAGGTCAAGGTCAGGTCAAGGGTACAAAATGCAAGTTTCTACAGTATTGGCCTTGCACCGTAGTTGCCGAAGAATGGAATGAGACTGATTGCCCAAAACGTGTTCATAGACTACCAAGACAATATTCGTTGCACACAATGTCATTCAAAGGTCAAGGTCAAGGTCAGGTCAGGTCAGGTCAGGTCACCAAAAACAAAATAATGAAAAGGGCATGTGCGACACATGTTTTATGGGTCATTTTACTCATGGAATTCAATAGGCACACTCAATAAGTGATATGGACCACCTCTGGATGAATTTCAGGTCGAGGTCAGGTCAAGGTCAGGTCAAGTGAGGTCAAATTTTGAAGTTGGTTGTTAAGGCCTAAAAAGGTGTCTATCCGATGCAGTTTTTCACGGCGAATCGAATGGTGCTATTTGTATTTCCGTACGAGGTCTAGAACTTCCAAAAAAATCATTTTTCAAAATTTTTGTGTGTCGTGACGTCATAAAATTTTGAATAACTCCCACATTTTTGAACCGATTCTTCTAAAAATTGGTATGTAGGTGCATATAGACCACTTCTTTGACATATATTCCGGTTTTTTCGATAAACTCAAAATTTTGGATTTTATAAATATTTTCCCAAAAAAGTCAGTTTTTTGGAAAAATTTTGGCCAAAATCCAAAATTTTCAAAAAACCGAGATAGCCATTTGATAGACAAAGTAGAATCACGTATAACCTTTTTTGTTACGTCTTGATTCCTTTAAAAATGAAGAAGTTAGCGGCGTTTGAAATTTTGCCGTTTTTTAGGCGAAAATGGCGAACATGACGTCACTAAAACGTCAATTTCTCAAAAACTTTCCGACGGATTTCGCTCAAATTTTCAGGGAACGTGTCAAATTGATGTATGATAAGGTACTGAAAGTTTGACGTCGCTGGCGTAACGCGTTTAGAAGTTATTGGCGAAAAACGGGAGGGGGGGCAGATTCTGCCCCCCCCCCCAGCGGGGCGCGGGTTAAATGGCTACGGTATCATAAAATTAACTGTTGAATCCCGTACCATTCAATTTCGAAAAGGTTACGTCAGTGGATACACAGCTATTTCAATCACGCAAAGCTGTTTTGAAAGCTGAAAACTAAATAGAGTATTACAAGGAATAATAACTGTTTTCGACACCGCTGAGGCCCAGCTTTGCCATCACTTGATTATAGCACATGTTTTCGACAGTTCGTAAAACAAAGATGAGTGTTATATGACGGTAAAAACATCTACAGGTTCATGTGGATGAAAACGGCGACGCCGAGGGAAACTACTCGGTGGTGTCGCTGCTGCCAGATGAATCTGGTAACAGCACCCTGCCCTACCGGATGTTGCCAGTTGGCTATTTTTCTACCAAGGACGGTCAGAACACGTCTTCCGGGCCGGCCAGCGATCTTCCGGTGAGAAAATTGCGAAAATGGCCGCATGATGCTGACTAATTTTTTGGTAGGAGTATTGTTAACACCGTCATACCGTTCGCCACAATTGCTAATGCTTCTTTTTGCTGTGGAAATGACATGTTTTGGTCAATGAATGTTTAGATATCTGTTACAACCAAACAATTTTACCCATATTACTGAATTGTTTCATCGATAATACAAACATAAGTATGTGGCAGTGTAACACAACCTTGTGTTCTGATTAAGTTCATTGGGTCTTGTTTGTTTTGTTGTAGGGCTTCATTTCTTCTTTTCCTACTTTTCCCTGTTCAGCTTTCTTCTCACCCAGCATTTTCACTGTTCTCTCCACCCTTCTCACCACAGGAGTTCCGCTACCTGAACCCCAGTCAGGGCATCCAGTGGGTGCTGGGCCACCCTCCCGAGGCGCACCCACCGTGCGGCTTCGACGGCAAGCGGTGCTCCATCGACCCGGACCCCATGACCATAGTCCTGCTGACTCTGGCCGTGTGCGTCGTCCTGGTGGCAGCCATCTTCGCCTTCAGGTCAGTACAGTCACGTGACCGGTCAAAGTCGGTTCAGAGCTGAAGTTAGTGGAGTCACGTGATCAGCGTGGATAGTGTGATCACTGATAAGTCATGCCATTGAAGTAACGTGGTTAGGGTTCGATAGTGAGGTAAGTCATTGAAGTCACGTGGTGGTTTTGGACACGCTGTTCGATCAGCAGTGGTATCACATGGTCATCACGTGAACTTTGTTCATTTAGGTCAGTGGAGTCACGTGACCAACATGTGTAGGCTGGCCAGTCAGGTAGCTGCAGTCACGTGACCGGTAAGGGCAGTGAAGTCGCATGTTCAGCGTGTGTTATTGTGATAAACTCATTAAACTCACGTGATATGATCATTGTGGGCAGCCTGTTCGATTAGGTTAGTGAAGTCACGTGACACACATGTGAACTTTTGTTCGTTCAATTCAGTGGAGTCACGTGATCATCGCCTGTTGATATTGATTATTTTGCACGCCACTACATATAATATGTACCTACTGGACTGGACAAAAATAATGGACGATTGCCAATGCAAGGCAGGAAGTTAAAAATTTCATAGCCAATTCTGTTATGCTTAGCGGAATTAGACCAGACCTCATCTCGACTAGAGGCGGTCTAAGTTGAGTGGCAACGATGCTATTGGAATATCGCTTTTTTATTAAAAGTTCCTTGAATATTGTTGATTACTTATATCGTAATTGATACGTTATTTGGTAGGTGTCAGATTTGCAGTAATGAGTAAGCCAATACCTGAGCTCTCGGCATTTTAAGGCACACGCGCTATCCTGTGGCTGTTATACATATCACTCATCCCCATGAAAGGCTGACATCCCATTGAAGTATATTTGTATCTTCCGTATCAGCTAAGCCTCCCACGCATTGAGATAACGAAATGCATGGCGCCGATGCCAAGACATGCCAACCACGCGTCCACTAATTTGGAGTCGAGGTCGGCTGAATGAATCCCTTTGATAATGATACGCTTTGATTGATCAACTAGAAAGAAGCCTTATGACGCTATTTGAGCACCACGCTATGCATGAAATTGACTCAATAATACACTTAGCAATTCAATCGAGCGCGACTTTTGATGGATTCTTGCGCTTCGATGGTGCGGTTTGAAAGGAATACCAGGAAGGGAGAAATCAGCTGCGAACACCAAAGATGATGTTAGCCCCGCCTGCGTAATGGTTGAGCGGTAGGGAGTTTTACTAGTCAGTCACGTTATTTGAACGTAGATTCATGCTACTTTGTAACCAGATAACTAAATAAATACTAACATTTCGTTATTGTTACACGAAATTGAGACGTTTAATTGATGTTCAATGCTCAATTCAACAGTTTACTACCTCTTGCAAGCACCCGCTGAAAGCACACATGCTTGCCTGCAGTTTCTTGGGTTTTCAGGATTTGTTTTATTTATACCAGCTTCATGCATACATGGATGACGCCTCTGGTTCCCATCATGAATTCCTTTTCTGCTGACATTTAAGGCATTCAGCTACGGAGGCGACACATAATGATGGGAGTTTTTACACCACGTTTTTTCACCTCCAGTGCAGAACATCTTATATCGAGTGTCCACTTACGTGCCCTGAGCCTCTGCGGATTCACCAGCGTCTCCTCATTGCTATCAGATGACGCTAATACCCCGCGTCATTTCACGCATCGCCGGCCACGTCATTACACCAGGAAAATTGGTATTCCTGGTAAGACCCGCCGTCGCGAGATTCCCAAGAAGTGCATGCTTTTTGAGAGCATATCAAAGAATCAGAGATGTGTTGCTAAATACGCCTTTTTAGTCTACAATGCTCTCGGCGGGTTCTGCGCTTAATGGAATTCATATCACACAGCCATATTGACTCGAAAAACTGTGTCTGCTCGGATGTGCTTCCATTCTCAAACTCAATAGGTTAGTTTGACATATGGGGTCAAAAATTCGAATATTTGGCTTGTTTTGGTCCACATTCACGAAGTCTGCTCCAATTTTGTCTTTTCCATATCCTTTTCAAGTTCTTATTAATGACAGTTTCACCGACAGACTGGTTTCTGGACATAGTTATAAGTCTCTGCACAAAAAATGGCGATTGCTGATATATTCCCAGTGGCGCAGCCAGGATTTCGTTTCGGGGGGGTCATGGCTTCCAAAGCGGGCCCCCTAGTGTGCGGGCCCCCACCCATTTTTCAGAATCTCTCCATATTTCATACGCATTCTGCTGGGCGGGCCCCCTTTACCTGCACGATAACCCTGAGCGAGTTTCAATCAGAAAATTTGCATAGAACAGTAGCTCGGTAATCACCCGGTCTTCACTTTTTACGCAAATTGACCACGACAGAAATATGTTACTATGACGTATGACTTCGTATCTTTCGAGTCCGATATGAGCCCCAATTCCGCAATATGCATAGCATATTATATGCAATCGGAACTGTTGCCTGCTTCTGTCGCACAAGATTTAAAAGTAGTCCCATGTGCCTGTCCTAAGTCATCTATTGGCTGTTGTAGTAGATTGTGCTTTTATTCTTCTTCATTACGTGAATTCGCTCGTAAGAAGTTTTAACCCTCGCCGGCACAGGGGGGAGGGGTTGATGCAACCCCTAAGGTTTTTTTCGCGAAGAACTCGCGTAAAAAAGCGGCTGATCGCGACGTAACTTCCATAGTGCGCTGAAATTCGCGCAACTTATAGAACAAGGATGGGTAACGTGCCTGTGAAGAGTCACAGCTCGATCGGGCCGGTGGTGAGCACATGGCGCGTGCTCAAAAAGTGCTGTAGTGTCTGAGTGTATTAAGTGCCGTGCCGGCCTGTCCGCACTGTAGCGAGTGGCGCCCCGCCCTCCTCTGTGATCACGTGATCTTGTGACCGCCGACCAATTCCTGGCCGGCTGGGTCAGTCGGTGCCGGGCAGCCAGCCAATACAGGCCTATCGAGGACGCGGACTTTACAAGTGCAAATTCGCGTCATAGACTTTACATGCATAAATCGGCTTGCAAAAATGGGCGACAATGGCTCAACTTGCCCGACACGGGTCCGGTCCCCGTGCAGTATCTCGGTAACCGTGGGTCCGATCGGCACGAGGAACACAGTATCGTGCATGAGAATCGAACGGGCTATCGAATGGTGTGAGGTGCAGGGATGGCACGCGCCACGTGCACCCGTGAGGGCACTTATGCTTGAAAAAATTGACGTTTTGGACGGATTTTGGACTTAGTGCTATTTTTGGGTGACTGTCAGACGGAGCGGGTTCAAACAACGCTTGTTAGCAAGAGAAATGTAAGTACCTACCGCCTCTCATGGGAAAATTGTGAAAAGCTAATTGATCAAAAACAAGGTGGAACAAATTGCTGGAGAAAATAGCATTTGCTTATGACTTAATTAATTACAGGGGTTTTGCTACATAACCTGGTATGTTTGACAATTGAAATGGGCATAGATTGGAAGAGCATTCAATTGTGACCAAGGTCCAATCATCGCTTTTGCATGACGAGCAACAATATTCTTAAGAATATAAATGTTTCAAACCTCTACATAGTAATTCATCGATGGCTTTCACTCTTCAATAACCTACGCCAACCTACTAGGGTTGACTATTAAGTAATGGAAGTGCCTTAACCCTCGCCGGCCGAGGGGGGGGGGGCGGGTGCCGCCCCCCCCCCATAGGGTTTTTTCGCGATAGCTCCGAACACGCTGGCGATAGAGAGCTGAAACTTGGCATACCTGACCTTTGATCCAAGCCGCATCTTTTGACACCAACCGCATTTTTGGGTCAGGTCAGGTCACTGACCTATGACGTCATAAGTGAACCTCTGCACGGTCTTCAGATGTCGCAACTTCGCAACGCCCTCACTGCCAGAGGAGATGTCACAGGGAAATGAAACTTGCAGGATCTAATATCCATTATGAGTCCCACAACTTGTATATCTCGGATTTTTCCTAAAGGTCATATGAGGTCAGGTCATTTTCGTGACCTCACCATTATAAGTCAATGGGGAAAAATTCAAACTGCTATTCTGACGCCGGGAACGATCTCCAACTATCTCAAGCACACAGAATCGTGATTTGATGCACTCCTTGCAAGGTTAGATGCGTCACTTTTGCAATGTTGACCTTGCGTGACGTCATTTATGACGTCATCAAGGTCATATTAGTTTTTCGTCAATAACTCCTGATCAAATTGAGCTAGCGAGTCGGGAAAGCCACCAATGGACTCAGGAAGACCTGCCGAATCGAATGATATGCGACATGACCCCTTTAGACCAACTTCGTGACCTGGGGGTGCTGACCTGACCTTGACCTGAGGTCAACACCCCAAATTGACCTGACCCTGACAAAAAGTATATCATTCGACGCGCCTGAGCGAGACGAACACGATGCTGCCAAAATCGGCGCTCTGCGGCCGTTTTTTGCGAAGTTATTCACCAAAAACTGAACCGTACCTTGGGGCACTTGACCTGACCTCAGAGGTCACCGGTTGACCTAGGACCTTAAAATCGGGTACCAATCTCTGCGTCTCGTAACGGCGCACACGCTCGTTTTTTTCGCGACGCGCTAGCTCCACCAGGGGCGAAACGGCGAGGGGGGGGGTCGTACCCGCCCCCCCCCCCCCTCGGCCGGCGCGTATGTAGAAAACCAATAGGTCCGGCGAGGGTTAAGCAATTAAACGGGTTTGCACGTGCACACATTATTTAGGTGTCATTTCATGCGCCGATCTTTTTTCTATCCAATGGTGAAGACCACATGTCCCTAGCTACTTTTTGCTATAAGCTATCGTCGTTTTCCCAAGAGACCTCCCGAACCTGTGGCGCACCACCTGGCAATGGCTAAAGCCGCGCGCCAGCGCCGAGTGCAAGGTCATTAGAGCCCAGTTTGTCGTAGGGAAAAGGCCTACCAATATCAGAAAAATTATTTTCTAAGTGTATGGAGCGACGCAGCCTCCCCACAGACGATATGTCGGTGGTTTCATCGGTTTGAGAAAGAAAGCGCCGATCAGTCTTCTGGCGGCGTTCCAGGAGTGGGTCAAGACGAGGCTGGAATGGTGTGTGATGCTTGAAGGCGATTATGTGGAGTAGTGTATGCTGTCATTTATCGTGCCAATGTGTATTGTTTTGATGAAAATATAGAAATTGTCCATTGTGTAGCCATAACAATAAGCCAATAAGCTCTGATGACCTCGCGCTGGCGCTTGGCGCGCGATTTTGGCAATTGCCAGACTCCTTTTTCATGGTGCGCCGCAGGTTCGGGTGGTCTCTTGGGAAAACGACGATAGCTTGGAGCAAGAAGTAGCTAAGGACATGTGGTCTTCACCATTGGATAGAAAAAACATCGGCGCATGAAATGACACCAAGAAAACATGTGCACGTGCAAAAACGTTTAATTGCTTAAGGCACTTCCATTACTTAATAGTCAACCCTAGTATGTCATGAAATACACTTGGCATGTTCTATAGTAGAACGCATGGTTATTATCAGACACGAGCACCTCGATGCGATGGATATTTTTTCCCAAAACCAAAATGCTTAGCCGTCAAAAGGCAATCGACCGTAATGCATACATAACCCACAGACACAAGACCAACCAAACGCCCACCGATCGAAAATACCCCTTATTGGCGTTGCGAAGCAAGCGGGTCACCCTAGCGGGCCCCATTCACCCGGGGGCTCGGGCCCTATCCACATGGGGGACCAAGCCCTATCCATACGGGGGCCCGGGCCACGTTCACCTGGGCTCCGGGCCGCAAATTCCCAATAGTGCTACACGCTACGCACAGCCCAGGCGGGTGACGTCACGGTGTCGTCACTCGCGTCCGGGGCATGCGATTGCGCATGGGGGCCGCTCGGCTCTGGAGGCGCCGGCGGCAGGCGGCTCAGAGAGATCTGCACGGCCGATGGGAGCGGGTTCCGAGATGTGCACGGCCGATGGGAGGGCTCGAAGAAGACCACTGCTCTGATGCCTTTAATAGTCAACTACACTGCGAACGATTTATCGGGCATATCCGACGCAGAAGTTGCGGCGAAAGAACCTGAGGCTGTTGCGTCATGCAGCATTATGGTAAACGAAATGTGCTCTGCTCGTGCGAGGGTTTAGAGTTGTGGCTTGGTGGAACAGATTCCTGTGCCCATCGCCACTTGCTAGTAGTCTGAAGCTGTTCAGAGTAGTTGAGGTAGAAGAACAGTAAATTTCAAGCCAGTTTCTGAACTCTTCTCCGGTTTTGACGTCCTACATCCCAAAGTCAAGGTTGAGGTATTATCTTTGCAGTTCACGTCGACGCTCGATGTTTGAAAAGCCTGAAGATTCAAATTTTTTTCCGAGAAAAAAACACATCTTTTTCCATCTTGCACCACAGGTACAGAAACAACACCACCCACAAATCCAACACAAATTACAGTCTAATAGGTGTAACACCAACACGGCCTTCAAATCCAACATCCAGCGCCAGGGCTGCGGAGTCGGAGTCGGAGTCGGAGTCGGTCGGAGTCGACAGATCTGCCCGGAGTCGAGTCGGAGTCGGAGTCGATTTTGGAAACCGTATCTGGAGTCGGAGTTGGAGTCACCGAAAATCAATCGACTCCGCAGTCCTGGCAGTGCTGCGGAGTCGGAGTCGGGAGTTGGAGTCGGTCGGAGTCGACAGTTCTGCGCGGAGTCGGAGTCGGGGTCCGAGTTGGTTTTTGAAAGTCGGAGTCGGAGTCGGAGTCAGAGTCGCCTAAAATCCATCGACTCCGCAGCTCTGTCCAGTCCAGCGCACTCGGCCAAGGCCATCAATCAAGGCCGTAATTCTATATACCCTGGTATGAGGCCCTTGAATTCGCGCCTTAGGTCCGCGTGTGATTCGTGCATAGACTCGTATATTGTCGTCATAGACTTTCCTTAACCTGTATCTGAACTAGCGAATAGATCCCCACCTCGTCTGACTATTGGCTGATGGATGTGACGTCACATAACCCCCAGGCCAATGAGCGTGGGCGTCAGGTTATGACGTCATCTCCCGCGAAAACCAGCCAGTCAGCGCTGGAGGTGCGTAGCGTGTAGCATGATTGGGAATTTGCCTCCGGGCCTCGTCCACCCGAGGCTCCGGGGCCCGCCCACCAGGGGGCCCGGGCCCCATCCAGCCGGGGGCCCGGGCCCCGTCCACCCGGGGTCTGGGGTCCGTACTCCCGGGGGCCCGGACCCATCCATCGGGGGCCCTGGCCCCATCTACCCGGGGGGCCGTGCCCCATCCACCTAAGGGGCCCGGGCCCGTTCTCCCGGGGCCCGGGCCCCATCCACCCGGGGGCCTGTGCCCTATCCACCCAGGGGCCCGTGCCCTATCCACCCAGGGGGCCCGGGCCCGTTCTCCCGGGGCCCGGGCCCCATCCAAATGGGGGTCCGGCCCCGTCCACCCGGGGCTCAGGGCCGTTCTCCCGGGGGCCCGGGCCCCATCCAGCCGGGGGCCCGGGCCCACTCCACCCAGGGGGCCCGGGCCCGCTCTCCCGGAGCCTCGGGCCCCATCCACCCGAGGGGCCTGGACCCGTTCCCGCGGGACCCGGGGGTCCGGGCCCCGTCCACCCGGGGCCCGTTCTCCCGGTGGCTCGGATCCATCCACCGGGGCCCCATCCGCCGGGGGGCCCGGGCCCTATCCACCCGGGGGCCCGGACCCATCTACAGGGGGCCCGGGTCCCATCCACCCAGGGGGCCGGGCCCGTTCTCCTGGGGGCCCGGGCCCTGTCCACCTGGGGCCCCAGGCCGACCCCTCACCCGAGGTGTCGCAGTGGGCATTTCTCGAAGCGGGCTCGTCCGATTAGATTAGGACCTCTCTCTCTCTCCTCTCTCTCTCTCTCTCTCTCTCTCTCTCTCTCTCTCTCTCTCTCTCTCTCTCTCTCTCTCTCTCTCTCTCTCTCTCTCACTCTCTCTCTCGAGCGGGCCCCTGACAGAAATTTCGGGGGGGTCAGCTGACCCTCTGCCCCCCCCTGGCTGCGCCACTGTATATTCCCCTCGCCCCGTTGGGGGGGGCATTTTTGCCCCCCCCCCCCCCTGTGGTTTTTCCTGAATAGCAAGAAAACGGCGGCGCGCAGCGCCGCCAAATTTTTAGTACCTTCCCGGGCATCAATTTGACACCTTCACACCAAATTTCGAGTCTTAGGTCACCTTAGGTCAGGAGTTATTGAGGTCAAACTGAGGTCATGTTCGAGCAAAAATGAGCAAACAACATGCAATTTTGAAACGCTCACCAAATCTACAGTTATCAAGCAATTTCAAAGTTCTTTATATGGTCTAGTAGACAAAAAGCGGCGCTACAAAACTGCTATCTCAGATTTTCAAAATTTTGGGTTTTTGATCCCAAAAATGCAAAAAATTGATTTTTTTTTAGAAAAACGTAAAAAAATCCAAAAAATTTCCGAATTTCGAAAACACTGGAATATGTCTGATAGTCCCTTCGCTCTTCTATATACATATCAAATTTCAGATCGATATCTCGTTTTGTGGACAAGTTATAGCGAAAAAAACTGTTCAAAAATGATGACGTCAAATTTTTGAACTCAATTTTTAGCGATTCTAGACCACGTACGGCAAAACAAAGACCACCATTGAACTTCCCGTGACGAGCTGCATCGATTCAATACCCATTTCATGCAAAAATATTAACTTTGAAATTTGACCTAATTTGACCCGACCTTGACCTGACCTTGACCTGACCTTGACCAAAACGTGACCTAAGCTGGCCCCAAAGGCTGCCTGACCCACATAATCGCATTTGTCATGTAAAATGGACCATAAAACATGTATCACACGACACTTTCATATTGTGACCCCCCCCCCGTGACCTGACCTCTGTGACCTGACCTGGTATCAGTGACCTCAAATAGCAAAATATATTTCCCCATCGATTATTTTCAATGAAATGCATTTTACTCGATTTTACAACGCATTTCTTGAAATGCCTGTAAACGGTGAAAAATTGACCTAGGTCATCGGTTTGACCTAGGTCAATAAAATTAGGTCACAAGGTAGTTCCCTGATAGGGCTATCCAACACCGTTTGCCGCTTGTCGCTAGGTTGCGTGGTTCTCGAGATCTTAGGGGGGGGGGGACCAAAATGCCCCCCCCCCAACGGGGCGCGTTGCTCGGCAGAGCCCAACGGGGCGCGGGTTAACAAGCATATGATCACAATCATTTGATTAATCTAAAGATATTTATATATCTTTATATCTATCTATCTATATATCTAAGATATATTCATATATCCGAATCTGTCACCTTCTTCTTATTTAATTTTTACTCTCAGTTTCTGACCATTGAAGTTCCTGAAATTAGAGATGTTACAGATGTGTTCTCCCACCTTTGGAGCGCATAATTCTCGCACTCATCCTTTCCAGAGAGCGTTTCAGCCGCTTACGTTGGCGCTAAGCCGATGTGAATACCGCTTCAGCTCGGATTGTTTTGCGCCGGGATTCTCTCCAGCTGCTCCCGTTGGACCAATTGTCGCTCTTTCTGCTGGTCACGACGTCAGCAGCAGCTTCTGTCGGGATTTGACTAGATCTAGCCTTCCCTGAATGAGTCCATCACGGCTCCTTTCATCGCCTCTCGCTCTATTTGTGGTTGCTGATTGTGCAGTGTCGTTTGAAGTTGTCGTTCAGCAAATATCCTGTTAGCGATTTATATTGTCGGATGCGAGGGACAAGAAACGCACGCAGAACGTTTTTAAAAGCTCAAGCTTACATAAAGACAGGTAGACCTCAGCAGGGAGACAGGCGGACCAACGGGCAGACTGGCTGACCGACAGACTGACAATTAGCTTTTGAAGCTGGAAAGCACCCTTTGTCATACATCAATGTGTTTAACATTGAGGGGCGAGGTATATGCTGGCCGGATTGGTCACGAAATACAGCTTTGTGTTTAATTGACAGGCACTACCGTCACGAACTGAAGCTGGCGTGTCTTCTGTGGAAAATCGATCTGAGAAGCGTGCAGCTGCTGGAAGCTAACAGCAATGACAACTTCGGAGGACAGCAATTCAAGGTAAGGCGAAGTTATCGAATCACCTCTGTCAGCAGCAATGGAGTGTTTTTCCGACTGTTTGCGCCCGATTGCTATCTGTCGCATCACATAGAATCTGTTGGCGGGATATTGTTTCAATCGTGCGAGCATCTTAAATTGAACTCAATACAAAATGTTTGATGTATATCCTAATCATAAATATCGTATATATCTTATATATCGTAAAATCGTATATGGAACTGTATATCCTAAAATGTTTGATGGAGCTACGTTGACTGTCTTTGATGTGAACGATGCTTTTATCGTACCACAGCCGGCGACAGGGTGCATTCACCAGCGCGCTGGAAATGATGCCAGAGAGGAGGCGCGCTCAGGAACTGATGCCACCTATTGCAGGGTAGGTGAGACCGAGGATCTGCTTAGGGTGCTCTGTAACTAAGTAGCCTAAACTGTGACCAACTTGGCATGATTATCAATCTTTTTTTCCTGAGGACGCTAACGTTTATTAGTTCATTAAGCCGCGCCCGGCTGGGGGTCCTGGATTTCCACGCCCTGCTGGGGGGGGGGTGTTTGAACACCCCCGCCCTTGTAACTCGGCTCCTGGGCCACGTAGCGATACGCAGAAGGCGGCGTTCGAAAGAGCGTCAAAAATAATGACGAAATCACTTCAGTCAATTTTTTGGTCAGGTCAAAGGTCAGGTCACCAGAGGTCATTAAAGGCAAAATTTCGCCGATTTCCAGGTCGAATGTCGAAAACTTCCAAGAAGCCAACGCATAACTCGGGAACCAATAGAGCTACAGCGCCGCGGAAAAGCGCATTCGATAGCCCTATTAACGCCTTTTCTGATTAATACTTTCAGATTTGACCTAACGTCAACGGTTTTGCCTGCAGGGGGCAAAAACGGCAAAAATAGCCGATTTTTTCGGAAACAGTTTTTCTGCAATAACTTTTGACCCAAGTCTTGTACGAGCTTACTTTCACCGGCATCGTGTTCCTCTCGTCAAGACGCATCGAATGAACTATAACTTGACCTTGAAAAGTCAACTTGAAAATTTGACCTAAGGTCAAGGTCATGACCTGACCGGAAAGGGTCATGTTGCATATCAGTCGATCTGTATCGTCGAGCTGAACACATCTAAGGCGTTTTCATCGCTCTAGCATGCCTATATCAAAAGTTATTTGCGAAAAACTGTTAGATACCATTCGTGACCTAAGATGACCTCAGGGCATAAACAAGGGTCTCGGACACCATTTTCATGTTCAGTGTGTCTAAACCACTTGTAATTCGGTGTTTGGGAGTGTTTATAATGTCTTTTGTCCAAAAGAGGCGCATTTCAATTTTCTCCCATTGACTTATAATGGGGAGGTCGCAAAATTGACCTGACCTTAGGTCATGGATATCAAAATTCTGAGATATACATTTTGTACAGCTATTGCTCTTAGCAATCGCTGAAAGTTTTAAAGCGATTGGTCACTCGGTGTAGCTATGACAGACATTGAAACTTTTTATGAGGTGAGGTCACTTCAAGTGACCTGCTGTCCTGACCTTGAAAGATCTTGGTCTGAAATTTTCATAACATGTGTAGAATTGATGTATGATAAGGTGTACCAAAAACGGCGGCGTTCTGCGCCGCCGTTTTTGAGATATTTGCGAAAAACCACAAGGGGGTGTTCAAACACCCCCCAGCAGGGCGCGGGTTAATAGAAATTTAAATTGTATATGGTTTATTTTTTTTGGTATATGAATAGAATTGGGCTGATTTTTAAAATAAGTGTATAATGAAAACATTTTACTTGTTCAGAGCCGTGCAGGGCTGATCTTTTCGTTAATGAAGTCCTAAATATTGTTTTAGCGTATTTTGGAATATATATTTATTCCATTGATTCGACCATAACTGGCCAATTGATTCAATCGATCAAAACATAAGCCATGTTTTAATATTTTAACACGTCACTGCAGCCAATACAGTTGTCGTAAATATTCCATTATCACTAGTATTGAAGAACTTTTCGTCGCTTTTCTCAGATTGGCATATACAAGGGAACTATTGTGGCTGTCAAGTTCATCAACAAGAAAAGTGTCGATCTGACCAGGAGCATTAGGAAAGAGCTCAAGCTGGTAAGTCGCGTCAGATGATGTCAGACAGAGTCATCAAAAAGGATGGGACCTTCAAATATCACATAGTGCCTTTGCTAGGAGCATGAATGAATAATTAGTATAATTTAAGCGACCTTCTCCTTGAAAATTCCGAATCCGAATAATATACATTATACATACATCCGATTTTGGGCTGTGCCCGCCCCGAACACACATGTAAAACAGCATTTTACTTTTCGGAATTTTCAAGGAGAAGATGGGACCTTCACTTGTATATCTTATGAATATCCCATTTAACGTGACGTTCAATAAGTTCTATTCAAATTAATTATTGGAACAAAAGCGTTACAGGAAACTTTGTGAACAACAAATTTTCGGCATCGGCTTCTTGTCTTCTACAAAGTCCTAAAGAATGAGGCGGAAATCTTGCATACACATGTCCCTGATCTTTCATTGTAGCTTTAGCTTTAGAAGCCAATCACATCTTCAGGCTAGGCCAGATCACTAACTTACGAGTGACGTCATATGTGACCCTCCGCAGTCTGCATGGCTCACAAATGGCGCAGCTTCGCAACGCTCTCAATTTCAATGATTCTCTCAAAGACAATGTAACTTTCAGATAGGAATCAGTAAACTTTAGCCCTTATGTAAATACAATTTGTTCACCTACCTCGGATTCTCACAACGTCAATCTGAGGCCAAGTCGGTAACCTGGCCCTTATTACGAGGTCGAGTCCTCGCTTTCTTCGCGGCCCACAACTACAAATGTACAGTGTAGACTTTGGAACCAAGCACCATGGTGATCGAGTCAACCAGTACCAGTCTGTAAACATCTCGAAACGGCATGGTTGTTTCCTTGCAAAGTAACTTGGAATTCTACAGTCGTGTTTCAACTTCGCTCGTGACCACCTCTGGGTGTTTTAGGCGGAAAAGTCCGATTTGAAACAGTTCCCCTGGCAAATACCTACAACTGCGCGCGCTGGGAATTGTTCCTCGTAAATCGACCTCTACGCAGCGACTGTTTTCGAGTTGGGTCCTTGTTTTGATGAGGTCACCCGTCCCTATACGACCCAGGGGAGCGAACAAAGACGCATCAGCAAACAACGAGACCCAGGGGCACACCACATCACGAGAAATGAAACGGAATGTGAAACAGAGATGCTAGACTAAACCAGACCTTACTTGATCATTGAGCTCGTTTTGTTCATCACATTGAACCTCGAAATACGACGCTAAAAATCGATGCCCTATTTGATAATATCAACGGAGTTGACCTGAGGTGAAATGGGCCTCAGAGGTCGTAAGGTAGAAAAAGGTTGTTTTTTGTAATACAGATCTATCAAAGTAATTTTAACCCTAGAACGCCTAGGGGGGGGGGGTTGTATCAACCCCCCCCCTGAGGTTTTTTCGAAATGCACGCTAAACGGCTTGTCGTAGCGGGCTGAAATTTTCAATACCCTCTGGGGCAACCTTTGCGCATCTTTTGCCGAAAAAAAAAATTGATCGGGTCATGTCAGGTCACGGAGTTATGACGTCATAAGAGGTACAGCCTCCGGCCGGATTTTCACAAACTGAGTGCCAACGCCCGAGGTTTCCTGCCGGTGGTACGGACATCGGTTGATGGATCGTGATGAAACTTCCCATGCATGTTGGGGCAAGTATTGGCTATCATATGGTATAAGAAATTTGACCGGGTCAGGTCAGGTCACGGAGCTATGACGTCACAAGAGGAACAGCGTCCGGTACTATTTTTGAAAAGCGCCCGAACCACTATTTTGCTAATTCTTGTCACCTCAATGGGAATATGCAGCAATAGTAGCTTCTATAGGGAGCAAATAGACCTCCCAAATCCAAAAATACAATCAGATTTCAAAAATTTAAATTTTGATTTTTCGAATTTCTGCCGCCGACTGTGACCTTGCCGACTTCCGGCGCTCCCAACGAGCCATTTTTAGAGCTAGGGAAACGAAATACATACCAAACGATAGAGAATTGATCAAGGAACACGATAGTGAAGGTTTCAAGTCGATATCTCCCACCGTTTTGCCGCAATCGCGCCGCCGAAAGTTGAAAAAAGTCTATTTTTCCGAAAATTTGACATTTGACCGGTCAAAAGTAGGTCAAATGTTGACCTAGGACCAAAAATATACCACCAATCGCGAGATCTCGTTGAGAGCAATCCGTTGTTTTTTTCCGCTAAGCTCTACGACCTTCCGTTTCGAAACGCCAGGGGGGGGTCGTAACAACCCCCCCCCCCCCCTGGTCGTTCGTGTTATGAGAAATGGCCTGGTCGTGCGAGGGTTAAGTGGTGAAAATTGGGAACAGCCATAAACAAGTCATGCGCGAACAGTCAACTATGGTAACTGCATATTACTTGTTTATTTAATATCTGCTGTTAGCGAATTCCTGTAAGATCTATTTCTATATACATTATACATGATTATACATATTCATAACATATGCCCATTAACCTTCGCCCCAGTGGGGGGGGGGGCATATGTTACCACCCAGTCGCGTTTTTTGCGTGTGAATAAAAAACCGCGGCGCGTAGCGCCGTGCCGCTTGGGTTAGCTTTTGGTACATCAATTTTGGACAATGTGTAAAATTTTTGACCCCAGGTTATGTCAGGTCAGGTCACCAGGTCAAGTTAACTGACCAAGCCTAAAAAAAAGTTTGCAATCATGTCCAGCCTGCAGTGGTTGTCAGAAAGGTTTCAAACTTGGTGGATTGCATGCTGTTATGGGCGCCTACAATTTGTATATCTCGGATTTTTTATATCCGTGACCTAAGGTCAGCTCAGTGGCGTGACCTTTCCATTACAAGTCAATGGAGAAAAATGAAAATGCCTCTAGATCCGTGTGTACGCATCGGAACAGTCCAAATATTTCAGAATCACAATGATTTAGTCCACTCGTGATGACCAAGGTGTCATTTTTGCTGATAGCTTCTAGACAGGTCATCCGAGGTCACTTGAGGCTACAAACAGTTTTTTGCCCATAACTCGCGATTGGAAAGAGATAGAACGCTGGGGATGGTCTCATTGTGTTTGTCTTGTTGAGACGCATCGACTGATATGCAACATGACCTTTTCCGGTCAGGTCATGACCTTGACCTGAGGTCAAATTTTCAAGTTGACCTTTCAAGGTCAAATTATAGTTCATTCGACGCGTCTCGGCGAGGGGAACACGATTCTGGCAATAGAAATGTCGTGGCTTTTTGTAGTCGAAAGTTATTGTCGAAAAACACTTTTCGTAAAAACAGCCATTTTTGGAGTTTTTGCCCTCTGGAAGCTAAACCGGTGACCTGAGGTCAATATTGATAATGACCTTTTCAAAAGAAGAGTGCAAAAGCTATCGTTTGCTGTTCCGTGCGTTTTCTAGCTACCATAGTTCCTGAGATAGCGGCATGTTTTCTGAAAAAATATAATGACAATTGGCAAATTTTGACCTTTGATGACCTCTGGTGACCCCAATATTGCTCTAAGGTGAAAAATGGCCGAAATACTTTCAAACGTACGCATTGAGAGCTATCGACTGATTTTTACTGCGTCTTTCTAGCCCTCTTAGTTTTTGAGTTAGAGGTGGGTGGTAACATATGCCCCCCCTCACTAGGGCGAAGTTGGCTGAGACCGCCACTGGGGCGCGGGTTAAAATATTTTAATCAAAATGAGATTGAAATTATAGAATGTATTACTGAGCTATCCCTGTAATAGACTGAACAGATAGAAGAACGCTGTGCCAGATCGGCAATCACAACTATATTTTTTTTTAATTGCCGGACATCGGTAAAACGGGAAGGCAGCTGCCTCGCCAGTCGGCAGTCTGCCTCCCGTCTGTTGATGGTTCGATTCGAAGGCTTCAGCGGCAGAATTGGTTCAAATCCAGTGTAAATCCCGTTTGGCACGACGCTGAACGAATCATTTTCCACTAGAGCAGTTCGTCTGTCATTTGCGGGACCGATAACTGAGGGGAACTCGTATTTGACTCCTCATCAATCGTATTTGTCTTCCTGAACTATCTCCAATATATGAAATTTTCACTCGAATTTAGTTTAACTCGTGAACCTTAATTTACAAAGTAAATAAATAAATACATGCCTACATAAATGGACCCAGGCAGATAACGAAGCCGGCGTTTTCTGATCAGATTCCTCGTGAACTCGCACCCGTTTTGGAATCTGTAGGAGTGTAGACCCAGGGAGCTCCGATGTCCAAACATACCGCTGATAGGACATCAGGATTATTGCCAAAGTTTGCGGCGAGGTTAGTTATAAACTGCCGCGGGGATGATAAGCGTCCCAAACTATGACTCGATTCCGAGGCCTTGTCAGCGCAAAGCGGACATCTTGTCATTAGTTCTCCGACACTGAAGGTCATAGCAGTTACGTCTTATGTCGTGCAGTCGTTCAACGGCAGGGCGCGCGGGCTGTGCCAATTCATATGAAGAGCTAGATTGATGCGCGAGCCGCCTCGATTTGATAGATTAGATCTTGACTTATATCTAGTTTGGAGGATTTAACCCGCGCGGGGCTGGGGGGGTAAATTTTACCCCACCTCGCGAATTTTTGCGATATCTCAATAACGGCGGCGCGCAGCGCCGCCAAACTTTCAGTACCTTTTCTTACATCAATTTGACACGTTCCCTAAAAATTTGAGCGAAATCCGTCGGAAATTTTTTGAGAAATTGACGTTTTAGTGACGTCATGTTCGCCATTTTCGCCTCAAAAACGGCAAAAGTTCAAACGCCGCTAACATCTTCATTTTTAAAGGAATCAAGACGTAACAAAAAAGGTTATACGTAATTTTACTTTGTCTATCAAATGGCTATCTCGGTTTTTTGAAAATTTTGGATTTTGGCCTAATTTTTTTCAAAAAACTGATTTTTTTGGGAAAATCATTATAAAATCCAAATTTTGAGTCTATCGAAAAAACCGGAATGTATGTCAGAGAAGTGGTCTATGTGCACCGACATACCAAATTTTAGAAGAATCGGTTCAAAAATGTGGGAGTTATTCAAAATTTTATGACGTCA